GCCTGGCAGGCACCTGGGCCTCCGCAGAGGCGCGGCACTGGTTCCTTGTTCCGGCGGTGCACTGTTTCCTGTGTTGAAAGGAGTGGAGTTGTGGACAAGATTGGTTTCAGGATTCTATGGAGTTCTTGAGGAATACTCCAAGATCAGCCAGAGGATTTAGCTCCAACAGAACAAGGATTCCAGGTCCCAGATGTCCCACACGGTCTCAGACCATCCCACCGATGTCGTCGACGCTTCATGTGGTGGCCACTCGACGCTTCCAGGACGTGGTGATGGATCCTGTGGTTGAACGAATCCTCCCGGGATGTGAGTTGGAATCCTTGGCCACTCGACTGTTCGTTTTGGACGGAAGAGGACGGTCGTGACCGAAGCCGAGGGTCCGTGGCGACAGAAGCCACTGAGTAGACAGGCGGACCTGGACGGTTCCGAGGTGGTGGGTCTTGAGATCTGCCGATCAAGGCGGAGTGGTACCATAAATGGGGGACCGAAGGCAAGGAAGCCCAAGCTGGAGATGAAGATGATGATGAGACCTTGGGATGATTTTGAATGTGTGTTCCATCCAGGGTAGCAATCATGTCTATGGATTCGCCACGGGGTTTGCGCTCACAGTCAGCCTGGTTTGCGCAGCATTCACCGAGACCAAGCTTTAGGTGGACATTGACCCCGAAATGGCAGCACTGAGTTTTGACATCCCCATCCCCAATATTTGCATCTCGGGGTAGTAGGTCCAGCGTTTTCACTGGAGGACAATGCGCAGTTACTGGGCCAAATTGCAGAATTGCTCGGCAAATGAGTGGACCAGTGGACGCTACTGTGGTGGATTGTTTCAGGGATTTCCTGAAGGCAGAAGTCTTCATTCTAGGCCTCCAACCTACTAGCAATGGCCTCCATCCTAAGGCAGATTTCTCAGGCAATCTTCGATTGGTTTCCCTGGTTCTCTCTGTGAATCTCCCCAGGAGACGACACCGATCAGCTCGGCACAGCGCGAGGTGTGGAGATGCGTAGGGACCCGTAGGATCCCGTAGGGAGGTGTTTCATGAGAAAAGGGAATTCGATGTTGGGACCTTTAGGATTTCTGAAAAAAATACAAGCCCTCTATCAACTCTTTTGTAACAAGGAAGTGAATATGTTCTTTAGGGTTTGAAATGTCAATTTTCATCCATTTTCCGTAGTACAAGTACTGAGATGTTTCTTCCTTCCGCTTCTTTCAGCCTCCTATTCATGTTCAGTCCAGAATGTTATCCAAATTTTAAAGATCTATATACATACTTCAAGAACCCTAAAGTTTACGCTTCTTACTCTGTTCCAACATGACACTTGCGGTCTACAGCGGATCGGATTAACAAGTCCATTTTGTGTGGCAGGTACAGCACGGTCAGATTTCCACACCCGTTTAAATTATAATATGTATCAGGCTTTCAGGTGTGGAAATCTGACCGCAACTGAGGTGTCGACATGTTGCACGTAGGATTCTAAGGGGAAAGGGTTTGTGATGTTTTCGAAGTCAAGAAGCGCAACTTTTGGCACCCCAGTGCGTTATTACTAGGTATTAGCCTTGTGTTTACAACTAATCATGAGAAATGTTGTCAGGTTCGACATTAGCGTTGTCCTGTTAATAAAGTTAAGAACAAATAAACATATAATCAAAGTTATATAATATGTTTCAAGCGAGTTGATCTCAAAATTATGGAACTTATGTTATTTCCAGCACCTTCTTAAAAACACAAACAGCACCCTTCAAGAACCCTAAAGTTTACGCTTCTTACTCTGTCCCAACATGACACTTGCGGTCTACAGCGGATCGGATGAACAAGTCCATTTTGTGTGGCAGGTACAGCACAGTCAGATTTCCACACCCGTTTAAATTTATAATATTTATAAGGCTTTCAGGTGTGGAAATCTGACCGCAACTGAGGTGTCGACATGTTGCACGTAGGATTCTAAGGGGAAAGGGTTTGTGATGTTTTAGAAGTCAAGAAGCGCAACTTTTGGCACCCCAGTG